TAGCAACAAGCAGAAAGTTTCATAAAATTAAATCCAAATAGTACTGCCCGCCACAAACAACTTTGAAAGGAAAAAAGGTACAATGTGTTGTTTGGGTTTAATGGTGGGGGCCCTGACAAGTGCTGGGTGTTCAGCTCTTTGAAGCATTTTCTGGCTTTCTGCTATAAGCCAGGTCCCGGGCTAAGTGTTGAAGGTGAAAACACTGACTAGAACACATTTTCTCATTATAAAAGAACGCAGGGGCACCTGGGTGGCTCAGTCAGTGAAGCTTCTGACTCTTAATTTCAGTTCAAGTCATGATCTCAGGGTCATGGGATCAAGCCCCACCTCTGGCCCCACGCTGGGCATGGAGCCTGCTTAAGATTCTTTCTCTCTGCGCTGCCGGGAGGGCTCAGTCAGTTGAACGTTCGGCTCTTAGTTTTGGTTCCAGTCAGGACTCAGGGTTGTGGGATCAAGCTCCTTGCTCAGCAAGGAGTCTGCTTCCCCTCCCCCTCTCCCTCTGCTCATCCTCCCCAGCTCTCTCACACACTCTCTCTAAAATAAATACATCTTTTTTAAAAGATTTTATTTATTTATTTGATGGAGCAAGACACAGCAAGAGAGGTAGCACAAGCAGGGGGAGTGGGAGGGGGAGAAGCAGGCTTCCCGCAGAGCAGGGAGCCTGATGCTGGGCTCCATCCCAGAACCCTGGGATCATGACCTGGGCCCAAGGCAGATACTTAACAATTGAACCACCCAGGCGCCCCATAAATAAATCAATCTTTTAAAAAAATCTCTCTCTCCCTCTGCCCCTGCCCCGTTTTCTATCTAAAAAAAAAAGAAAAAAGAAAAAGAGAAAGGCCCACAATAAAATGGAGGCAGACATGTAAACTAGCAAACAGATCTTATAAAATGTGCGGTTCCAGAGTGGACCGCGGAATGCTACTGAAGCACAAAGGACGTATTTAAAGCAAACTTGGAAGAAGGAAAATGTTTCCCAAAAGACATGATGACCATTGAACTGAGTTTCAGAGGGCGTGGTGAAAAGGAGTTAGCTCAGTTTTCTAAAAGGCAGTGAAAGATGAGGGGAGACATTTAGAAAAAAAGAACAGTTCTTGGATGAGGCATAGATTTTCCAAATAGTGTATTAACAAGTTTGATATGACTAGAAGTTAGATACACTTGTGGCTAAGTGGACAAAGATGAGGCTAAAGAAGTAGGTAGAGGCCAGATCAGGAAGTATCTTCTGTCCTAAACTAAGGCATTTGAACTTCAAGTTAAAAGCACCGGATATGTCTTTCAACAAAGAATGTTTTCAGAACTGTACCCTGTTCTACTCTGAAAAGCAGTGTACAGGAGGCATTGGAAGGGGCCAGAGCAAAAGTAAGGAAATCAGGAGGCTAAAGTAGACAAACACGCTCTTTGTCCAACAACATGGTCATCAAAATACCAACTCTCTCCCATCCTCATAGCCTTCTCAGCCCACGTGACTCAGGTGGGGCTCATATGCTTTCTTCCAACCTCAGAAGTGGACAGATGACCAGAGGCCTGAACAATCACAATACGTCTTTATCAGCTTCAGTCCTGCTCACTCTTTAGCCACAGTGATTGGGCTGGGGTTGGGCACATAGCCCAGCCCAAATGATAAAATGGCTTTTGCTGAAGCCATTGAGGAAGATGCTTTGCTCTTTTTTGGAATAGCTAACCAAAATGCTTGTGTAGGCTTAGGGCTGCCAGTGGCCATCTTCCTCTGATGGAAGGCTGCTGCTGGAGACACAGGGTGGGGAACTGAGTCCTGGCAATGCAATGTGAACCTCTTCATTCAGGAAAGCCTGAGAAAATTTCTACTCTTCTGACTCCTCAGTTACACAAGCCAGTAAATTATTCCTCTTCTTCCTCCTCTTTTTTTCCCTTTCCTTTTTTTTTTTTTTTTTTTTTTTTTTTTGCTTAAGTTAGTGGGCATCCAACTTCTTGGACTGAAAACCCAGAGTTCTTATTAATCCAAGGTCCACCACAGTAATCCAGACCAAAAATAGAATTAAAATAGGGCCAAAGTGGGATGAAGAGGGAAAAGAGACACAAGAAAAAAATGAGGAAGCACAATCTATAGGCTCTGGGGGTTGATTACATAGTGGGTGAGGAGAGGTAAGAGTCTTTGATGATGTCGTACTCTGGTTTGGAACACTGTGTGGACAGTGGTGATGTCCAATGAGAAAGTGAATATAGGTGGCAAAACAGGGTTTAGAGGAAAAACAGTGAGTTAGCTTTTGGGTATGTTTATGCAGATAAGGGTCAGAGACTTAGGGAAAGGGTCCAGATGTGGGTTCTAGCTTTAAGAGTGGTACACAGAGCTATCACTGTGGACGTGTTCAGCCAGAGTGAGTAAAGAGAGCAAAAAGATCACTTTTCAGTGAAAAGACAGTGTCAAGGACAAAGCCCAAATGAATGACTGTTCTATGACAGTGAGCAGAGAAAAAGGAGCCACAAGGAGGCTGAGGAGAAGACACTGGAGAGGCTGTACAAAAACCAGAGCATGCGTGTCAAGAAGCCTGACAGTAATTGAGGAGTGAGAGTTTTAAGAAGTCCTGAAGATTTATTCAGTAAACTCAGTGTAATAAAAAAAAAAAATACAAGTGAGGGGCACCTGGGTGGCTCAGTCAGTTAAAGGTCTGCCTTTGGCTCGGGTCATGATCCTGGGGTTCTGGATCAAGACCCACATTGGGCTCCCTGCTCAGCGGGGAGTCTGCTTCTCCCTCTGACCCTCTCCCATCTCATGCTCTCCCTCCCTCTCTCTCTCAAGTAAATAAATAAAATCTTTAAAAAATTATAAAAGAAAGAAAAAGTGTCCTTAATGGCTTTAAAAAAATCAATTATAAACAAAATAAGGCAGTATTGGAGGAACTGAGGAACAAAAAGATATAAGATATAGAGAGAACCATAATAAAATGGCAGAAGTCCTTCCTTATCGTACTGACTTTATTCTTTTTTCAGTACTGACTTTAAATGTAAATGTATTAAGCTCTCCAATTAAAAGGAAAAGATCAGGAGAATGGGCTTAAAAAACAAACCATGATCCTTCCATTGTCTGTCTACAGGACCCTCATTTTAGACCCAAAGACATAAATAGGTTTAAAGTGAAAGGATGGAAAAGATACTCCAAGCAAACTGAAATCAAGAGACCCGAGGTGGCTATGCTAATATTAGACAAAATAGACTTTAATCAAAACATGTTACAAGAGGCAAAGAATGACCTTACATATTGATAAAAGAGTCCATTTATCAAGAATTAATATAACAATTATAGGCATATGCACACCTTACAAGAGAGTCCTAAAATATATGAAGCAGTATTTGACAAAATCAAAGGGAGAAAAAGTTTTACAATAGTCCAAAATTTCACTTCTCACTTTCAGTAATGGATACAACACCCAGACAGATCAATAAGGAAATAAAGGACTTGAACAACACTATAAATCAACTTGACCTAACAGACATATAGCCCACCCCCCAAAATTAGAACATACATTTTCGTGTGCACATGGACTATTCTCAGGATAGACTATATGTTAGGTCACAAGTCTGTAGCCCGCCCACTTTTTATTAGTTTGATTTTTTTTGTTTTTGGTGTTTTTTTGTTTTTTTTTTTTGCTGTTAAGTTGTAGGAGTACCTTATACATTTTGGATGCTAACCCCTTATCGGATATATGGTTCACAAATATTTTCTCTCATTCCATAGGCTGCCTTTTAATTCTGTTGTTTCCTTTGCTGTGCATAAACTTTTTAGTTTGACATAGTCCCACTTGTCTATTTTGGCTTTTGCGGCCTGTGCTTTTAGTGTAATATTTTTGAAACCATTGCCAAGACCAATGTTATGAAGCTTTCTCAATATATTTTCTTCTAGGAGTTTTAAGTCTTACATGTAAGTCTTGAGTACATTTTGAGTTGATTGTTGCATAAAGGTCCAATTTAACAATTTTGCACGTGGATATCCACTTCTGCCAATACCATTTGTTGAAAAGACTTACTTCCCCACAATGAATTCATGCCACCCTTGTCAAAAATTAGTGACCATACATACACGCATTTATTTCCAGGCTCTCTATTCTGTTCCACAGGTCTATGTGTCTACTTTTATATCTGCACCATACTGTTTTGGTTACTGTAGCTTTGTAATATATTTTGAAATAAGGAAGAATTATGCCTGCACCTTTGTCCTTTATTCGCAAGACTGACTTTGCTATTCATTGTCTTTTGTGGTCCCATATTAATTTCAGAATTGTTTTTATCAATTTGTTTTTTAAAAAGCCAGTGGGATTTTGATAGGATTGCACTGAATCTGTAGATTGCTTTGGGAAATATGGACATTTGAACAATATTAAGTTCAAATGTTCTGATATTAAGTTCAAAAAAATATTAAGTTCAAAAAAGTTCTATTATTAAGTTGAAAAAGTTCTGATCTATGAATATGGTGTGTCTTTCCATTTGTTTGGGTTTTTAATTTCTTTCATCAGTGTTTTGTAGAAAATGGGCTAGAACTTGAACAGACATTTCTCCAAAGAAGACATACAAATGGAACAGCAGATATATGAAAAATGCTCACAATACTAATCATCAGAGAAATGTAAACCAAAACTATAATGAGATACCACATCACACCCATCAGGATGGCTATTATTTTTTTAAAAAAGACAACAAGGGTTGGCAAATATGTAAAGAAATTAGAACCCTTGTATACTGTTGGTAGGAATGCAAAATAGTGCAGTCGTTATGGAAAACAGCATGGAGGTTTCTCAGAAAATTAAAAATAGAATTACCATATGATCCAGTAATCCCATTTCTGAGTATTTTTCCACAATTACTGAAGTCAGGGTCTCAAAGAGGTATTAGCACTCCCATATACATAGAAGCACTATTCACAACAGCCAAGATGTGGAAACAACCTCAATGTTCAATGACAGATGAATAAAAAAAATGTTGTATATACATGCAAAGGAGTATTAATCGGCATTAAAAAAAGAAGGATGCTCATTTCAGCAGTACATACACTAAAGCTGGCCCTTTACAGAGAAGATGAGCATGGCCCCTGTTCAAGGATGGCATGCAAATTTGTGAACTGTTCCAGATCTTTTAAAAAACACCACATAAAAAAGGAAATTCTGCAGAATGTGACTATATGGATGAACCTCGAGGACATTCTGCTAAATGAAGTAAGGCAGTCACAGAAAGACAAATACCATGTTATTCCATTTTTAGGAGGTTTCTAAAATAGTCAAATTCACACAGAGTGGAGTAGTAGTTGGCTGGGGCTGGGGGGCAGGGTGAAATGGGTAGTTGCTAATCAATGGGCATAAAGTTTCAGTTAAGCAAGATGAGTAAGTTCTAGTTGTACATATATTCAATGATACTGTATTGTACACTTCACAATTTTTAAGAGGGTAGATCTCATATTCAGCATTTATAAAAATTAAATTGAATTTAACTTAAAAGTCCCCCCAAAAAGTCCCTTAAATTTTTAAATGACTGAAATCACACAAAATATCTTCTCTGACCACAACAGAATGGAGCTGTAAGTCAAAGCCAGAAGGAAAACTGGAAAATTAACAAATAGGTGGCAATTAAACACGCTCTTAAAAACATTGAGTCAGGGGTACCTGGGTGGCTCAGTGGGTTAAAGCCCCTGCCTTTGGCTCAGGTCATGATCCCAGATCCTGGGATCAAGCCCCACATCAGGCTCCCTGCTCAGCTGGGAGCCTGCTTCCTCCTCTCTCTCTGCCTGCCTCTCTGCCTACTTGTGATCTCTGCCTGTCAAATAAATAAATAAAATCTTAAAAAAACATTGAGTCAAAGAAGAAACCAGAGGGAAAAGAAATGTATGAAATTAAATCACAACATAACAAAACTTAGATGTACCAAAGGCGGTGCTCAGAGAGAAATTGAGAGGTATAAAGATACACATTAAAAAAGAAGAAATATCTCAAATCAGTAACCTGACATTACACTTTCAGAAACCAAAAAAAGAAGCTCTAACTAAATACAAAGCTAGTAGAATGAAGGAATAAAGATTAGAGTGGAGATAAAGAAAAGAGAGAACAGAAAAATATTACAGTGAATCAACAAAACAAAAAGGTAGTTCTTTGAAAAGACCAAAGTTGACAAACATTAAGCTGAAGTAAGAAAAAAAAAGGGGGGGGAAGGCTCAAATTAGTAAAATCAGAAATTAAAGGGGTGACCTTACATAAATATAAAGGATTATAAGCAAATACTATGAATAAATGAACACCAACAAATTAGGTAACCCAGATAAAATGGACAACACTGTACGTACTGGAAGTTCTAGCCAGAGCAATCAGACAAATGAACAAACCAAAAAACCCTCAAATTGGAATGGAAAATGTATACCTACATTTATAGATTTCATGATCCTATAGATAGAAAATCCTCAAGAATTCACATGCAAACTACTAAAGCTAATAAACAAATTCATCAAAGTTGCAGGATAAAAGATCAACACACAAAAATCAGTTGTATTCTTTTTTTAAAGACTTATTTATTCTAGGAGCGCCTGGGTGGCTCAGTTGTTAAGCGGCTGACTTTGGCTCAGGTCATGATCTCAGGGTCCTGGGATCGAGCCCCACATCAGGCTCCCTACTCAGTGGAGAGGCTGCTTCTCCCTCTCCCTCTGCCTGCTGCTCTGCCTACTCGTGTGCTCCATCTCTCTCTGTCAAATAAATTTTTAAAATCTTTTAAAAAATATTTATTTATGCTATTTGAGAGAGACAGAGAACATGAGTGGGGAGAGGAGCAGAGGGAAAGGGAGAGAATCCCAAGCAGGGCTCAATCCCACAACCCTGAGATCATTACATGAGCTGAAATTAAGAATCAGATGCTTAACCAATTGAGCGACCCATGCACTCCAAATCAGTGGTATTCTTATATAGGAGCAATGAACAATCTGAAAAGGATAATTAATGAAATAATTCCATTTACTGTAATAGCAAAAAGAATGAAATACATTGGAATGAATTTAGCCAAGGAGGCTCAAGAGTTGGAACATAAATACTACAAAACAGTACTGAAAGAAATTTTAATATACCTAGAAAAATTAAAGGACATCCTATGTTCATGGAGTGGAAGACTTACTGGTAAAATGGTAATGCTGGGGGTAGCTGGGTAGCTCAGCTGGTTAAGTAGCTGACTCTTGGTTTCAGCTCAGGTCATGATCTTGGGGTCCTGGGATCAAGCCCTGCGTCAGGTTTTGAGCTTAGTGGGAAGTCTGCTTGGTGATTTTCTCTCTCTCCCTCTCTCTCTCTGTGCCTACCCTCTTTCACACTCTCTCTCTAAAACAAATAAATAAACCTTTAAAATAAATAAAATGGCAATACTACACAAAACAATCCACAAAACTCAATACAATTCCTATTAAACTTCTGATAGCCTTTTTTACAGAAACAAAAGCCAACCCTAAAATTGATATGAAATTGCAAGACAAGTCAAAGAGCCCAAAGAACCTTCAAAAAGAGGAACAATGTTGGAGGCCTCCTACTTTCTGATTTCAAAATTTATTATAATCAAAACAGTGTGGTATGGGCGTAAGGATATATACAAAGAAACTGAATAGAATTGTGAGTCTAGAAATAAGCCTGTACACCTACAACTAACTGATTTTTGACAAAGGTGCAAGATCATTCAATGAAGAAAAACAGGCTCTTCAAAAAATGATGCTGAGACAATTGGATAGTCACATGAAAAAGTACGAAGCTGAATGCCATACTTTACATATATGCCCAAAAATTAATTCAAAACGGACCAAAGACTTAAATGTTCAAAGAGCTAAAACTTTAAAATTCCGAGGAAAACAAAGGTCAAATCTTCATGACTTTGGATTTGGTAGTGATTTTTTTAGATATGACACCTAAAATACAATCAACTAAAGAAAAAACAACTTGGATCTCAGTAAAAGTAAAAAGTTATGTGCATCAAGAAAGAGACACGCTTCTCCAGAATGGGAGAAAATATCTATAAATCATACATGTAATAAGGGCCAGCTACTCAGAATATATAAAGAACTATTACTATTCTACTATAAAAAGACAAACTGCCCAGTTAAAAAATGGGCAAAGGGCCCAAACAGACATTTGTTCAAAGAATATATACATGTGACCAATAAGCACACGGAAAGATACTTGACATTATTAGTCATTGGGGAAATGCAAGTAAAACCACAAAACCTCACACTCACTAGTATGGCTCTAATTAAAAATGAAGGGAAACTAGTCTTGGCGAGGCTGTGGAGAAATTGGAATCCTTGTACTTTCTGGTGGGAATGTAAAAATGGTGCAGCTGCTGTGGAAAACCATTTTGAGGTTCCTCAAAAAGGTAAACATAAACATAAACATTCAATTACTTAACTGACTCAGGAATTCTCCTCCTAGGTATATACCGATAGAATTGGATTCTCAATTACCTTGAAAATTATTTCAATTATTTTGAAAACAGACAGCCAAACAAATACTTGTACACGATTTTTCATACAGCGTTATTCACAAAGCCAAAAGATGAAGATAAACCGAACATTCTTCAGCAGACAAGTGAATAAACAAAATATGGTATATCTATTCAGTGGGATATAATTCAGCCATAAAAAGGAATGAGGAACTGATACATGTTCCAACACGGATGGACCTTGGGAAAAAGTGTACAATTAAAGTAGCATTTGGTACCTTCGACATGCTGTGTATCCAACACATCTACTTTGAAAACATTCTCATTACCCTGCAGGATACTCCCACCCTCCCGAGCCTCTGGCAACTGCTAACCGGTTTTCTGTCTCTATGGATTTATCTATACTGAATGTTTCATATAAATGGAACCACACAGTACGTGACCTTTGGTGTCTGATTTCTTCTACTTAGAAGATTGTTTTTTGAGGTTCATCCACCCACACATTGTAGCACCTCTCCACATGTCCTATATCCAGGTGACAATATTACATTCCTTTTTTGGCTATACAATTAGCTACTGCATATACCAGAAGTCAATTCCAGAGGAATGTTAGATCTAAATGTGTAAGGTAAAGTAATATGACTTGTAAATGAAAACACAGGAAAATATCTTCATGACCTTGGCATAGGTGATACTTGCTGCACCAAGACTCCAACAGCACTAATGATAAAGGAAAATACTGACAAACTGGAAGACATTACAACTGGGAACCTTCCCTCCTTGGCAGACATCAAGTGAGTAAAACAGCAAGTCATGGAGGGGCAGAAGGTACCTGCAGTACGTGCAGCCAACAAAAGACTCAAATTCAGAATCCACCAGATCAGTAAGAAAAAAGAGCCCAATAGAAATACTGGCAAGAGACTTAACAGCCACTTTGCAAAAAAAAAGTATACACAAATGCTCACTAATCACATATTAGACATGGGGAAATGTGCTCATCTTAATCGACTGAGGAAATGCAGACTAAAACCATAATCCTACTACTCACCAGGATGGCTGAAATAAAAGCTCATTTCAAATACTGACAAGGACAAGGAGCAACGGAAACCCTCCCACGCTGCTAGTGGGAATGCAGGTTGTTACATTTTGAAAAACATTTTGGCAGTATCTAAAGAAGGTGAAAATATCTAAAGGATATTTAGAGAGAGACAGAGAACATGAGTGGGGAGAGGAGCAGAGTGCATCCCACTCCTAGAGTGCAACTTATGGTCTTTTTCTTGATCTGGGTATTAGTTACAAGGATGTTCACTTAGTGAGATCACTTTTACTACTTGAGCATTTTCTGTTTGTGTCAGGCTTCAGTAAGTTCCTTTTAAAATACATATAAATGGGGCGCCTGGGTGGCTCAGTTGTTAAGCGTCTGCCTTTGGCTCAGGTCATGATTCCAGGGTCCTGGGATCGAGCCCCGCATCGAGCCCCGCATCAGGCTCCCTGCTCTGCGGGAAGCCTATTTCTCCCTCTCCCACTCCCTCTGCTTCTGCTCTCTCTCTCTGTCAAACAAATAAATAAAAATCATAAAATAAATAAATTAATTAATAAATTAATTAAATAACATAAATGGAGGGGGGATGTCCTAAGACCATGAGGTTTTAAGTGTCAATGTATTTCTTTTGATTATTACAAGTA